AATTTTTTTTTTAAATTTTCATATAGTGATCTTTTCTAAACACTTCAAAGAATCCAGTTTTATTTTAAAAATTGTCGGGGTAATTTTGTTTTCCAGACTGGAAAAAATTTTTAATTAACGAAAGCATAGTTAATGGATAAATTAGGGTAATTTTTTTTTATCAACGGATTATTATTTAAGTATCCAGTAAGTATTTCAATTTTTTTTTAATATTCAGATTTTATGGGTTACAAAATTTTTTTGTTCAATTGTCGTAATCAAACGGCATTTGCATTTTTTACTAAATTATTTATAACTTTTTTAATTTTCACCAGCCCCACAAGGTTTTTTTCCGAAAATATTCTAGATGTCATTACACCTTGTTCATAATTTTAGGTGAATTCAATCTCCAATTCGACCAAATGGCACTTGTTGACTAGACTATAGATGGAACAGTCAGCGTCTCTCCCCGACGGCCAATAAAGAGAGGCATTACCTTCTTATCATTGAAATGTTTCCCATGTCCAATCTGCCACGGTCCTTTTATTGTAGTCTAGTCAACTACTACTGAGGTGCATAGCCTTTTTATTACCCGCAAAAAAGCAAAATTAGAAAATTAGGCTAGAATTAGGTATAGTAGGTATTAGTGATGTCTGTTGGCCAGAAGCTGGAGAGAAAGCCAGAGTGAAGACTAGAATAATACGTACAGGATCGGTGGAAGGTAATTCGGTAGTAGAAATTGTAACACGTAGGAAAGCAGGATGGTGTTGAAAGTTATTTATAAAAAAGAGATAGGATAGTTATGGTTAAATTAAACTCGAAACCGGTAAAAACTGTAATAGTGCAGGTCTATACGCCTACATCATCTTACAATGATGAAGACGTAGAAGCGGTTTTTGCAGAGATAGAAGACGTATTAAGTTTAGTAAAAGGGTAGGAAAACCTAATAGTTGTATGAGACTTCAACGCAGTAGTAGGTGAAGGTAAAGACTGTGCAATAGCAGGTTCTTTTGGATTAGGCAATAAAAATGATAGGGGAGATAGACTGACAGAATTTTGCAATAAGCATAACTTAACTACATAACCGTCGCGAATACTTTACCCAACCATCACGTTAGGAGGCGCTATAGGTAGAAGATGCCAGGTGATTTAGGAAGATTTCAGTTAGATACTTGTTAGGCAAAGATTTAAAAATCTAGTGGGCTGTAGGAGTTATCCAGGAGCATTTATAGATAAGTCACAATCGTTAGTAGTTATGAAAATCAATCATAAATTGAAAATTCTGAAAAAGACGTAAGGTAGGAGACGTCTTGACTTGACTACAGCAGTATTAGCATCTATCAAAGAGATAGTTTTAAATAAAATGGAAACGACATTAAGAAATAATTATATGTGGTGTTACATGCGAATGATGAGGATACAATGGATAGAGAAGGTTAGAAACAAAGAGGTATTAGAAAGAATAGCAAAACAGAGGACTATATGGAATAACAAAAATAAATAGCCTAGATAGGTTGGTAGGACACCCTCTCATGCATGAATGTCTAGTCAGCGACATATTAGAGACAGAAATAGAAGTTAAGGGTATTCAGTAGCACAACGAAAGTTTCTCAGGGGTACGCAGCGTAAGGGGAATCTGAAGAAGAAGGCGGAGATATGGTCGGAAGTATTCGCAACTAGTCGCTCTATTTCGCAACTTTTATCAATCCCTTCATAAGTATACATGCGTACATCACTCTCCGTTTGCTTTCTGACAGAGAGTATGTTAATCGATATAAATAGCAATTTTCTTAAAAAAAAGTACTTTAGCGATAGCGATACCAGATAGGTATTGTTCAAATGAATAATTTTATAAACGAAATGACCATTTACAGCATACTATTTTCAGTGGTACTAGAAATATTACTTAAAAAATGAACAAAAATTAAACATTCGCTTCGTCATATCTTTTAAAATTGAATGAACAGTTTCAAATAGGTAAATTGTCATTATTGTAACAAACTTCACATTGGTAACGTTCCGTTCAACTCAAAATCATAGCTCTGCGACCTTTAGACAACAGTGTGTATCATTGGAAAATTAAAGCAGGGGACTGTGCTCGAAATTTGATGACAAAAGTTTTTATTCTTTTACACTAATACACTTCACTGTAACTATCAGAAAGTATGGCATTTACATAGAATCATTATTTATCTCAGCAAAATTGGAGGCGAATTTAATTTCTTAAATTACATGTTTATAAACTTTGTTAATTCTTCTGGGCTGGTGACCGACCAGGGGACTGTGTTTTACGATTTCGAATAATATTTTAATAAGTGATGGTATTTCTAATTTAATATTTTAGACTATGCACGAATTATTATTATTATA